GTGCGTTGCGCAAATTCCAAAATTTTTACGACCCCCTTCCTTTTCGGAGGGTATCGGTACGACCCCCATATTAACTATCATGTCTTTCACATAATTTAATGCTCATCAATGCTCATCAATGATGGCAGTCACCAACATGGAGAAGTGGTGGACCGTGGTCAATCCGCGCGCTCTGTCTCGCTCAGAGGAGGAAATCGAGGCAAATGAAGTTTTATTCATTAAATAGAAGGAATTTTCAAATTTTTGCGTAAACCAATACATCATTTTAATCGTAAAGATTTCTACTTTCAGAAACCCACCAGGATTTTTTCGATCTCTCAACTTTCCTTACCTTATAATCTGAAAAACTAAACCTTGTAGCAATTACATTGCAATCCAAACCCCTCCATTCAGAAGGTTATATTTTCTTTCAGAAGCTGTTTCATGAAATCGGACACCAAAATTTTAAAAATATAAATAGTTTTCTTCCTGAGGAGTATTTGAAATGTTGTGGATGTTCAGTATTTCAAAAAATCGTCCCGTTGTTCCGTTTTCTGTGCACACGCGAGTTTTTGACATTCAAACATTCATAACTTTCTTCATAATCAACTTTTTGCAAATGTCTAAGGCTAATTAGAAACTAGAAGATTAGAGCTTTCGAACAAGCACCTGAAAAATTTTTCCAGCGATCACTTTTTTTCAAAAAAAAATCGTCTCGTTTAATGTTTTCGCCGTTTTTATGGGCTGGTTTGGGGTCCGATTTTTGAGAAGGCGCGAGTTTTCGACATTCAAACGTTAATAACTTTCTTCATACTCAACATTTTGCAGATGTCTAAGGCTAATTAGAAACTAGAGGATTAGAGCTTTCGAATAAGTGCTAAAACTTCTTGAAATAATCACTCGCTCAAAAAATAGTCCCGTTGTTCCGTCAATTCCACCTTGATTTTTTTCAAGCCTTTTTCCTGGACCGCGACTATGCAGTCTTTAAAGGCCCATAACTTCCTTTGAAATTAATGTGATGAGAAGCGGTAAAGATTGTTGGAATCCACTCGAAGAGTACTTCATAACAACTGTGAAATTTCCCTGAAATTCCTTCTTCTGCCTCAATTTTCCTACGGCGTCTCTAGAACTCAATTCAGCAAATTCGCTACACTTTGTTTCGCTTAGATTTTATTTGAAAGCATCAAAACTCTCTTCAGAAAGTTTGTCTGCTTACGGCCGCTGACAGAGGAGGCGTTTTTATGGGAAAACGCCTGCTCGGGTATACGCCGTGCACCTATCTGTGGGCAGAATTCGCACTCGCATTTGAAAGTCTTCTGTTTTCCTGAAGAAGGTGTTAGTATCCTGATTGAGTTGTATTGTGCTGTAATGGGCAACTCTGTTTTCGCTTTCGCCAATAAGAACTGCTCTAAACTTTGTTCTCTTCGGGATTTCAGGAATGTTTCATCATCGAAGATAGACCATGTTTTTGCACTACACTGTAACAAAGTTTTTGGCTATTGTCTATTGCACTCTTGATCTATGCCGCGGAGCAAAAGCGCCGTCCGGATAGCGTCGATTAAGGAATAATAAGCTGATGGTGAGACTTATAGTGCTCTGCATGCTTTAATGCTCCCATGGAGCTCATGTCTGTGTGACTCTCCGACAGCGTGCAGAGCTCCTGGAGAACATTAGAGGCTGAAAGTGCACTCCCGGACACTGCACTTTTCAAGCCGTCTTGCAGCCCGTTTTTGTGGATACGACCCCCCCCTCCCTTTTCGGTCGGCCCCTGAATACGAACCGCCCATTCGTTTTGTTCTTTGACGCAAACGCGGGTTGACCCTGGTTACACACTTCATATCTCTATTGTCACTTGAAAGCACAATACCACATAAATTTGCTTTCGAACTTTGCCCCTTTCAGGCAGAGATTACAATGAAAAGATAATCATTAGAAATCAAGATGGAGGTCAGTGGTGCAGTGGAGGGTTGAAGACAAACCATGAGAAACAGCACAGAACTCAAGACGTGGACCCCCTTCCCTGGCCACGTTCATCTCCGCGCATATTCTTCGACTTCTCGACGCACTGCCGCTATACTCTAAACGTTCTCGTCCCTCAATGAACAGAACTCCAAGGATGGGCTCCGAGGTGAGAGGGTGGGACGGGCCCGCAATTGCTAACGGGGGGCGGGCCATTTCCTCTCTCGCCTTCCAAAATAACCCAGAATTGTCAATGCAGAAATTGACGTGACATTAACGTGACATCGATTCAAGAACATCTTCGAGCAGACGTGATGTCACCTTTCCGTCGAGAATTTAGCCACGTGTGCCACGTGGGTTTTCTGATTGCTAAATTCTCGATGAAAAGGTGAATCACGTGTGCTCAAAATGTTCTCGAATCGATGCACGTACGTTATATGCCACGTCAATTTCTGCAATTGCACAATTTCTGGTAGCACGCGAATATGTCTTGAGGATATCCTAAACGGAACAACGTTCGAGGATGTCTCTGCGCGATCAGAGACGTTAGACGACATTCATCACTCGCCATGACGTGGTACAATAGTGCTTCCAATATTCCGGACGGTATGGTGGTGTCTCTCGGCACTACTTCTTCGCCAATGGTGCAGAGCTAATGTTCGAGGATTTCTCGACCGTTAGTTTACCCAGCACCCTGATTCTGAAGCGAAGGGTAGATCGCAAATCTCATGTTCACCTGGCGAGTTTGATTGTCGTCTTAACCTTTATGGATCGCGCTCGCTTTTTCGCTAGGTCGACTTCCCCTTCTTTAGCTCAGATCTTATCGGGATCCTCCTATTAGTGGGATGAATGTAAAATCCCCAGCCGGTGGAATAGGAAAACAATAGGAAACAGGGCATAAAACCTCAAGCATAGGCGATACAGGAAGGTAAGAGTCGTTCTTCATAAATAGAGGAAATCACATTCCATAGAATGGATTTTCGTGGAGTTTTTTTCTCTTCGAAAACCGACCTATTGCGTAATTAAACTTTGTGTAATTGCATTTCTAGTGCATCCACAAGTGAAATATGTAAGAATTGTCCGCGAAGGATTCCTTTAACAACGTTACTTCATCGTACAATTTGTAGAGGAGGTGAGCGTGCCGAGGATAGTCAGCTTTGCTATAATTTTCGACAAATGCCATGCTTACTGTTTATTGTGTAAACTTCTGCAAAGTTGAATTATAGCCAGATCAGCAATCAGACACCTTTCAATTTTTGGTTTTCTATGAATATTTTGCAGACTCACAGTGTTTGCAAACTTTATTACGTATAAGTTAGAAACAACAATTGGTAGGCAAGAGCAAAACTGAATGCTTATACTTACGAAATTTTAGGAAAAAAGTAGACTTTGAATTTTTACTACCAAAAACATTCCAAAAAGATCAAATATCAACAAATCGCAATTCCCATGTCAAGGTCAATCTGAAGTGTGTTTATCAATCATGAGGGTTTCACGACATAGTTTTGTTTACGACCAAAACCTTGGCACTGCACCAAAATCGCGCAATCACACACGGCATCTTGGCTCGTTTCTTTTTGAGATACGAAGGGCTTGGGAGTGTTACTATACTCAGGAACGGAACATTACTTGTAAGCAAGTTTAAGAAAGGACAAGTATCATTCACCAGAAAACACAGTTCACAATGCTTTCGAACGAGAACGCAAACAACGAACCACAAAAATAACGTGAACAATTAACAACCGCATTTTTATCTCCTGGTACGATTACTACCTAATTTTCGAAAATGAACGTCATCACCTATTCTATCGCCTATTCCGATCCTGGTGATTTAGCGGGTTCCGCATCAGATGCACCGTCGTCTCCAGCCGACTTCTCATTTAAAACGACAAATTCTCGACTGGAGAAACCAAATTTGAGCACGTCTTTCTCTTTAAGCTCGACATACCTGGAAGAAAAATTTGAGTGAAAGGAACAAATGATGGGAAAGAAAACTGTACGACAAACATTCTTGTAGGGATAAGACAGCTACGCAATTTCACATTTCAGCTTCTCTACAGCCGACACAAAATTATTCCAAAACTCAGATTAAAATAAACGATTCACCGCTGAGGTTCGATCTTGACTCCATTGAGAAGTGTGCCGTTTGAGCTGCCCAAGTCAATGATATAAGGCAACACACGACGAGCTTTCGTTCCATCGCTGCGTTCGAAAGGAACCGATCTTAAACAATACCGCTTGAATTATCCAGCAAAAACCAAATAACAACAGAATTCGTGATAGGTGGGAGCATTCTCTGCATTATAAGGGAAAGGCAAAACACTGGGTTCACTGTCTTAGTTGACACGACAATTACATTAGTAAAATGTGGTAAAAAACAAAATCGAAATATCGAAAGAAAATTGAAGATTGGAACAAAATCCACACTATTAGAAAACACTTCGACGCTTGGCGGAACACAGTTATTGCTTGTAGATAGAGGGCTTTGGAGATGTTTAAAGCACTGGAAATTTGTGATAACTAAACAGGTCGAAGGTCAAATGGTTACCAACCTGTACTGTAGAACAGCGTGTTGTTTACTGCAACTTGGATGATCAATGGGCAAGTCGGCAATTTTTCGATCTCTGCCTATTAAATATGCCGACTGTCTGTGTATATGCAGGACGGGTAACGCCTCCTCGCCCTTGAATGGATACAAGCGCCACCTAAATCCATTGCAGTAGTGTAACTCAAGGTTGTATCAATAAATTTTCGAAAGTATCCTTGAAAATGAAATCTATTATAGAACTTGCTTCCACTGGAGCAAATACTCACCTGATCGTTGGTTTTTTGGCCTCAGGTGGTTCATTGTATTTTATGAGCACACCGCGATACATGTTAGTATCTTCAGCTAGTTTTCCACTGACACCAAGGTTTACCTAGAACATTGCAGAATCACACACACACATCAAAAACACACTTGAGCCTTGCATATATGAAATGATAGGATACTATTCACACCTTCTCCTTCTCCTTTGCTGGTGCGCCAGATTTTTTGTCGGATCCCCAACCTTCCGAAGCTCCCCATCGTTCTCTAGAAACATGCAATTTTTCTAGCACCCAGTGAAATGCAAGCAAGCTGAGAAACTTACTTTGATTTCATAGCAGACTCTCCTTCTGGACCTTCATCATCTTCTGCTTCTCTTTTAGGTCCTGTAACAGCAAAATGCGAAAAGGATACCACAAGGACATCCTAACACGAACTTTTTTCGAGTCCATAGCCCTTCGAAGAGGAGTCACGCGACTTCGGTTTGTCGTCATCTTCAGGCTCCTTTTTGATCTCACGCGATCTGCTGACACCATTTCCTTTCGAATCTCTGGAATCCGAGAATCATGTTGTGAGTCATAATTTTTTAAGAGCACTCAATACCGATCTCTTGGAGCATCTCGTCTGCGGCTGTCGTCCTCACTTCGGGAGGTTCTCCTGAATATACCGAAACTCACGGAAATACTTGCAATATTTCATCTCTATTCATTTTCATCAGATGTTCACTGTCTAGGCTATGGTAAAATTCCGTAGAAAGCGGCAACTACCAGAGTGCTAACAACAAAGCTGACCGATACCCTAGACATAACTCAACCCCCGTCGCAGCACAATTATCTACTAACGTATACCACTCCAACAATACTTCGAACTAAGGAAAAATTCGAGATAACGGTCATAGCTCGTAACATCGCAACAATATCCAATTTTAAGGGTAACAAGAAATGTGCGCCTCAATCCTTCTGGACATGATTCCGAGCAGGAAGACCTATTTCCTTGGTTCTTTCCTGTTACGCAAGGGAAGATTAAGCTCTCAACCGTCAACGAATAGAAAATTCAGCGGTCACAACTCACGTATCCTTTCGTTTAGGTGAAGGTGATCTTGACTTCGATCTGAAAAGTTACCAGGTCAGATTGATAAGTATAGCGAAAAGGGTTGATCACTGCCTCAACACCTGCTCACCTTTGTCTTCCTCTTCTCAACTCGTCCACAGAACTGAAAAAAAAACCTTGGATGAGGAAGCTAATAAAGACTAAGCGGAGCTTTGCTCAAATGCCTTAACACTCACCTCTTTTTAGGTGCTGGCGAATCCCCCTTAGCGCGTTTTCTCTCAGGGGAACTTGTCCTGCAAATGAAATGGCTTGCTCATGCCATAGAGCTTTTGAAGACAAAAAACTTACGTTCCCTCAGCATCAGAGCTATCTGACGAGCTCACTTCCTTCTTCACCTTCTTCGGCCACATTTTCGGACTTTCCGCTCCTGCTCGTCCTCTGGAATCGCTACGTTTGCGTCGACGATCGCGTGAATCGTCTCGTCGTTTACGTTCGCGTGAATCGTCACGACGTTTGCGATCGCGCGAATCGTCACGACGTCTGCGATCACGTGAATCGTCCCTTCGACGACGATCGTCCCACCGTCTGCTCTCCTCTTGACGCCAGCGATTATCCAAATAGGTCTCTCGACGGAAGCGATAGTTAGGTGGTCGCCGAGGTCTCCGTTCAGACGGACTTATGCTTCGCTCTCTTCTCTGCGCCACTGGAGACCTGCTACGATCCCTACGAGATCTGTCAAATGACCTCTCTTCTCCACTCCGACGCCTGTCTATTGTTCTAGGGCTTCTCCTACTGCTTCTTTCAGGAGACGACTCGTCTCTCCTTCTCCTTCGTTCGTCTCTCTTCTCATCAGAGGATTCGTCCTCGGAGCTTTCCTTCGTTCTGGGTTTTTCCTTGGCAGAGTCTCGGCGAGCTTTCCTTTCGGGTGATTCATCACGACGTCCTCTTTTGGATGACTCCCGCTCTTCCGGTTCCTTTTCACGCGACTTTTGTGCTGTCTCACGACGTTCTTTTTCCACTGGCGATTTGGCTCGTACCTTCTCCTCCTCCTCCCCCACCGAATCTGAGTCTTTTCTCTTTTTCTTTCCCTTTATATCGTCTTCATCACGTTTAGCCGGAGAAGCACGATCAGACTCACTTTCCGATTCTCTATGCTTCCGCTTGTGCTTTTCTGACTTCTTTGAACTCTTCTTTTTCTTCTTCTTTGATTTTTTTGACTTCTTTTTGGAATGCGATTTTTCAGCATCATCCTCGTTCTCGGATGATGACCCAGATGTAGAATGATTTCGCTTCTTTTTCGATTCAGACTTGGACCTTTTGCGTTTAGAGTGCTTCTTCTTCCTGTCTTTTTTCTCTTCAGAAGACCTAAAATAAGCGCATTTTCATGAATGAAACTGAAACACTTATAACTCGACAAATTTTACTTCGATTCCTCCAGACCAGAACCGGAATTCGAAGAATCTCTGTGACTGCTAACTTCTTTTTGTTTTGTAGCTTCCCTGAAAACAATTTGAAATGAACCTAATCTTGACACTTTGAAGTTTAACACTATCACCATTCAGCAATTTTCCACAACCCAAAACTTAACACCTGACAAGGAAGTGAAAAAAGCTTCTGCTAAATCCCGCAAACAAACTAGCAAAAAATGTGTATACCTGGAGGGCGAGCGATTAATGATACTTTTCGACTCCAACTCAGGTTCCGCTTTCTTTCGTGAAGTTTTTTGCTCCGGAGAACGAAGACGCCTTTCTGTTTCGCTCCGGAGAACGAAGACGCCTTTCTGCTGGAGAACTGAAACCCAAGATAAAATAGCTTCTAGTCTCTTATGTAAAGACTGCTCTACAGTGTAATTGAAAGAATTTCAGGAATTTCTTACGCGGAACGACGCTCGCGGGTGTTTTTCGAGCGTTCTTCTCTTTCTTTATTCTCCCGCTTAGGTCTGTCAGAAGGGCTTCTAGATCGCGATCGGCTAACTTTATTGCGCTCACGGACAGGTGAAGATCTACAGAAGATATGGCGATTATAATGACAATGACTCGAAAAGAAGAATTACAAAAAGACCTACTCTTTCGCCTTTTCATTCGTTTTTGATGGCTCTTACCTTCCCTCGCATTTGTAGCGTTGATTTGATCTTTGCATGGAGTTCTTGAAACCGATACATGTCAGAACAGTCTATGAAACTAACTTAAAAACAGATGCAAGAAAAATCGGGGCGCCTGAATAAAGAAAAGCAATAATGAATAATAGTCATAGAAATAATAAACAGTCGTATGGAACCTATTCTACACTATCACGAAAATGAACCACACATCCAACCCACAATATGATTATGCGCGAGTAGCTAAATAAACGAAGCACTAATGGAAACGCGATACCTCCTTACGCACAGAGACGACTCCTGCACTTTTCTCCATCCGAACTGTGTAAGCGGGCGAGACTTTTCTGCTGAAATAACTGTGGCATCATATAGGAAATGAAACGCGTGCCTAGACTTTTCATATTCAGTGTCTCCATCCAACTATACGCGGACCTTCCATCGGACGAAGTTTTCGCAAATTTCAAATATGAATTATCTCTCTACAGATCTCCAAATTGTTACCACATCCATTAAAGCACGCGAAGAAAAAAACGATGTACCTTCAGAATCAGAGCTGCTTGAAGTCAGAATCAGACGAGCTAGAAGAACTGTCCGAAGAGCTGTGCTCTTTTGCTTTCTTGACTGACGACTTTTTGCGATCCTCTACAGACTTCTTCGATGATTCTACATTTCTCGAAGATTCATCGCGTTTTGATGAATGGTGCTTAACAACGGTTTCGCTGCGACGCTCTTCGGGATCGGATGGAATCGGTTCGGCGTCGAGTTCATCTTCAGACGAGTCATGACGACGTTTCTTTGACATACCCTAGAGAAAATAGATCACGAAAACGATATTATCTGTGGAATTCAAAGTCTGAAGAAGAAAAAAAAAAAAAAGTTTTTTGAACTATGAGTGGATACAGCACAGAACTCAAGCATCCAATTGTGAAATCAATGTACAATGTAGGTACTATATGTAACGTAAAACAATAGAACAAAGAAATGTAAGTAAAAGAGACATCCAAAAACATGTCACAACTTAAGTCCTACAAATCTTCGATGTAAAATATCGATATGGGAAGATTCAAGGCGTAATGGACCGAGGTGCCAATGAAAAACCCGCCACATTTTAGCAAGAGCTGTCACTCAAATAGTGAGGAAACGCCTATCAAAATGTAGAGTGCGCCTTTTTCCAAAAATCTAACCATTTGAAGCGTCTTCAAACCGGCCACATGGTCGTAAACTTGTTAAAACTTGTTCTGCGAAACCGTACCCCACAACAAGCACTCGTAAAATTTGTCGTGGGGAAAACACACACTTCGGAGAGAGTGGAGCGATTGAATTGGTAATAGTTATACAAAGTTGATTCAAAAAAAGAAGAAAAAGGGTGCTAACTTAGTTGGGGGGGGCACGCGGCGGCGCGGCAGTCTGCTCACCTGGGCTCTCTCGAGCGAGACAGTGTAAACTCGAACATTCCAGCTTTTCACGCATGTCAAGTGACTGCCCCCACCCCCCCCCTAGGCTGGCCCCCCCCCCCCCCCCCCCACTAATTTTCACCGAAACGAGTCGGCCAATTGGTGATCACGAGTTGTGGAGTTACGGTTCTTTTACTCACAACGGAGGTAGTTTCAAAAGAAGGGTAGGGACGTGCACTATTCCTGTTTTCAGTCGTGAGAGGAGCTGAGATCTTCAATGCGAAGAAGTAGGGCCAATGTGGACTCGGCTGGGGGGGGGAGGAGGCACTCTGTAGAAAACCCACCAGAACTGAGCCTGAGCAGCAAGGACGATTTTTGGAGAATACGAGATTTGCTTTCGCACACCCCAAAGAGAACGAGCTGTCATGCTTTTATTGGAAAAACTGGAGTACGGACGACGTGCAAACTGCAGTAGAGGAACATGATTGTAACTTCCCTAGGAATAAACTGGCGTTTTGGGCTGATTTCACGCATTGGAACCCCTTCGTTAACCTTTCTCCTTCTTGTTTGTGGCAAAAGCCGAAATTATAAAGTCACATCCAGTTCTCTAATCCGGCGAATTTGAACCTGAAAGTGACATTTTTTCCAAAGCATCTCTTCAGAAGTAGAAGGAGCGTAGCATGCAACGCGCCGCCGGCCCGATTCGGGCTCCCAGGACCTGCGCGCAAGACCAAAATTAGCTCTCGGACTACTTGACATCTCCAATGCTGCAAGCTTGAGCGCCACAGACGACCTAAAAGAACGCTGCGCCACTCCACCATCGTCATATTCACCTTAGGAGACGTGTCCCACGGCCTTCTAATTCTATCCCAGGGTGTGGGAGTAAGACAACAGAGATCCGCCACTGCACGCGTGATGTTAGGCCGCCCTCCCCGTGAGCCGTTTTCCCTGACAAGCGTTCTCAGGTGTGCCAAGCTTTTTCAAAATGGTTTCTTGCATGACATTGGGGCACATATGGGGACCACAGAACCATGGTTCATTTTTCCTGAACGGCCCTCTGAATACCAGAAAAGGGGTCCCTAGTTCGATTCCTCGTGGTGACAAATTTTTGCATTTCGAGTTGACGTTTCCAAAATTCGCGCAAAATGGAGTTAGCTTAATGGGGCGGCCATGTGGATAGGCGTCATGAACCCATCAAAACGGCCCCACTGTGGTGTCACACCTTTTTCACCAGTTTTTTAATCAAAGTCTATTTGTAAGGGTTACTGACGGTCCTAATCATGAATATGGTACTAATTATTCATGCTAACTCCATTTTGCGCGAATTTTGAAACGTCAACTCGAAATGCAAAAATTTGTCACCACGAGGAATCGAACTAGGGACCCCTTTTCTGGTATTCAGAGGGCCGTTCAGGAAAAATGAACCATGGTTCTGTGGTCCCCGCATGTGCCCCAATGTCATGCAAGAAACCATTTTGAAAAAGCTTGGCACACCCTGAACGACCTCCCTTGTAGGGGTCGCGCTGTGAGCGCCTTCAGATGTCGGTCAGACTCCGCGATTGCATCGCGCGATGCAGTCGCTCTGTCTAGATCCTCAACGCACGCTTGACCCTTTGGGTCGTCCGGTCGCAACGATCATAGCAATCGCACAGCATTAGATACGATGATTAATCCATTTCCGATGAATGGACGATGAATACGTATCTATTGCTGTGCGATCGCTACGATCGTTGTGATCGGACGACTGACTATGAATGCGTCTAGTCTGGAATCTATATTATAAACGGAGAGTATGGCTGGTCGTATGACGCAGCCCTGTCTCCCCCACCTAGGGATACTCTCCAAATCTCGAAGTCTGATTGGGCGTGTCACCGGAAGCGACGTGGCGGCCACCGCGCCTGATAGAAGTCGTGTGCATAAGCTGTTTCTGACATACTTCGCTGGATATCAGTAAAATACGCCCAATCAGGCTTCGCGATATGGCTGTAGAACAGTGGTGGGGGAAGGATAGGATACGGCCTCAAACGGTGCTAAACGGAGATTTGTGGGCCAGAGGGAATGAGGGCAATTCAGGGGTGAGGGTGCGTGAGCCAATTATTAGGTTGTCTCATAAGGGAT